CTGCACTGGCCTTCTGGCTACACCCACCGCCCCGGCCAAGCCCCGTTCGCGGCCCGGCTTCTGCGCAGCAACAAGGCACATTGGTGGTTTTGAAGAGGCAAATCCGACAGGAAGCACCGCGGCGAGCCCGGCCCCGTGCCCCCACGCTGCAGCTCGGCTGTTCTTGACAGCTCTTTGCCTAACCCTCACCTGAACCGCCGACAGGCGTGCCGCAGCTCTCTTGGGTGACCTACGCTCAACTTCTCTACCCATATAGGCGACTAGTAAGAAAACTCGACTAGTAAGAAAACTCGACTAGCCCTAGCTGAATTTTAAACCGTTACTTTATTATGCACAGTGACCGGGGAGAACAGTTTACAACCTCCACTCTTGCAGCAGTCTTTCACGTATCTGAAAACTGTTAGCGTGTCTTTAATCCATCATCTTTTCTGTAGACTAAACAAGCCCTCTTCGTTCTGCCTTACCCTGGGTTGTCTTTTCTAGACTTCTGATCATTCTTGTTGCTTTCCTTTGGCCCCTCTCCACTTTCTTGAAGTGATGTGCCAAAAACTGGATACAGGACGTTGGTTGAGGCCTTATGAGTACGGAGCCGAGTGGAAGTATTGCTTCATGTGTCTTACATACGAGACTCCTGTTTATATATCCCAGTATGATGTTTGCTTTCTTCACGGTATGACATTGCTGGCTCATACTGTTTTCTGATTTACTAAAAAACCTCTGGATCCTCTCCTGTTATCAGAATTTTGTACACTTTGAGGTCTTATTCCTGTTTAACTGTAGCGCTTTCTGCGTGTCCCCATTGAATTTCATCCTATGTTTTAGGATACTTGCACAATTTGTCAATATAATTTTGTTTATAATCCTGTTCTACAAAATGCATGCTATCCCTTCCAACTTGGTTATATCTGTAACTTAAGAATCACATTCTCTGTTCCGAAATCATTAATAAAGATATCCAGTAGTACCAGATCTCTGCAAGCCCCTATTTGACATATCCTTCCAATATGACGAGTGCTAACAATTCCTTGGGCGTAGTTTACACAACAACTTGAACAAAAGTGCCAGCTAAAGCTGTTTAAAGTACAGACGTACTTTAATGGATTCAATATAAAGATTTTTTAGAACAACACTGTAATGTCTGAATAGAAATCTTTCCTCTTTCAATCTCTTTCAGGTTTTCTTTTTGAAATGAATGTCAGAAATTTCCAGCATTACAAGCACACTGTTTTACTCAATCCTCAGCAGGATCAAGATTCTTTATTACTCATGTATTCAAGTGTTTGCAGAATTGAGGCCAAATGCTTTCCCAATGACTTTCTAAAAAAAAAGGAGGAAAAAAATAGAAAAGGCATTAATTTCTAATGGAAAACCAGATGCACATGTTTGTCACTTTCCTCGTACTTCAAAACAAATTAAATGTGTTACTCATCAGCTATTTTCCACTTCAAATCATCTTTTAGCCTAATTATACTCTAAGTTCTCTTAACTAGGAACTTCAGTAAGATCAGCATCAGGGCCCAGCTCAACAGCATTTCTTGGAAGGAAGAGCAACAGGGACGAACATGGAATTCTCCTTTATGATTTCTGACATACCGAACGGTTGTACAATTGGTGTTAGACATTGAAAAGCTCCACATCTCCCATCAAGGCAGACACATGATTGATAAACCACAGTTGACGGAACTGTTTGTATTCCTGCCAGTTCTGCCTCCACCACATTAAGAGAGAACATAAAAGATGAATTCAAAGTGTCGTGGCGCTTTTGGGGAGAAGCAGGGTTCTATTCAGCCCCCAAGATGAGAATTTGGGCTGCCTGTGCGAAAGCAGGATGATCAGAAGTGCTCCAGGTCTCCAGGCTACATGTATTCTCATGTGAAATACGACAAAGAAATGTGCATGCTATAATACACATCCCCAAACTTAATTTTCTTCTTATGTTCATTTTCCCCCCACAAATCACCCAAGCTTATTAAAAGGTAGCACCATCATCTAAATGAGTGAACAATATAGAAAGAACTGTATCATCTTGAATATGGCATTCATGGGCTTAAAGTTGGCTTGAGGCTGTGTATCTGATCTATTTAAATAAGCGCTTACATATTAAGGCATAATGTTGGAAGCGCAGAGAATACTGGATATGGATAAACACGCATATTTGCTGTTGACATGACAAGAAAGATGAATATAAACTACCCCAGGAGACAGCACAGTAACGTAATCAGACAACTCAGCCCCCAAGAGCCTCCTTGCAGTTGTTAAGTGTATGGATGACAGGGAGGTACTAAAATCCTTCTTGACTATATAAAAAAATCAGTGTACAAGATTAAAGCTGCCTGGTGGAGTTAATGTTTTAATTAAGAATAAAACTACAAGATAGTGTTGTTAACTGTTATGTCACTTCATGCTAGCATAACAGAGCAAGCAATTAGACTACAAATCTTTATACATCTTATTTGTTGATGTTTAGCAAGCACATTAACGGCAGGGTGTCGTTTTATGTGGAGTGGTACAGATTGTTGGTACCAGCACATCCCCTCCAGGGAGGTTTTCAAATTGAAATGTTTTTGTCATTGCAATCTTAACTAGTTTGTTATTTGCTAAAATATGAACAACATTTTATAGTTGAAAGGAAGCTAGTCTTGAACCGCTTGATACTTTACCGGTAAAGGAAATTTATGAAGCATGTTGAAAAACACTGGAATTAACAAACAGAGCACACTGCAGTCAAAAAAAATGTTTTTTTCATTGATGGTAGTATGCAAATAATTTGAAACTCCTTTTCTGCATTTTTAGAATGCAAAGAAAAAAATCTTTGAGCAGTACCTTTGAATAGAGCTTTCCCTGAAAAATGCATGGGTCACCCAATGACACAAAAAATAAATACATGTTGTTTAGTGGACATTCAGTCAGTATTTTGATATGTGCTCTTTTGTTTTTCATTATACTTTCTATATACTTTATATTATTTCTTTCTGAAGAAATTTCACTGGCAAACCACTAGTAATTGAGAATATTGTCAATAATAAGTGAGATGGCAACAATTTAAAAATTCCCGTATTTCATTTAGGCTCCAAATAAGAAAGTACATATCCCCAATGTATCCACATTCTCTCTCAAGTTTTGGCGTATTACTTGGCTTGAGCATTTTCTACTGAATTAAATCTTTTTAGTATGTGAACCCGTATAGTATAGACAGTTTCCTATCTCTATGCTTCAGGAAAAGGGAGGGAAGAGCTATGTGACTTCATTTCAATTCGCTTGTTTGAAAACACCTTACAGGAGTCCATGGAAGGTTTCTGAGAAAAGCAAACCTGGATGGCTTAGAATTAACCTCTAGATTTTCACTTTAAGTTGAGGAGTTTTAAGAGTCTGTAAAACCAATTGCTGCTGCTGTTCTATGCCACTACTAAATCTTCATCTTCAGTTTATCACTGAAGTTGCTCCAGTTCAGCTTTAGCTGAAAAGGCTCGAATATTTGAAGGCTTGGCAGCTCTCTCTAAGTGGGATCAGTACAACTGCTTAGTAAATTTGGGTGGAGAGAGGTAATGGAGAGCATCAGGAGGGGCCAGAGAGGTTTAGGAGAGGTTTAGGCAGCGGTGGAGGAGTCAGAGGTTTTATATAGGTAAGGAAGGGGGGCTGGAAGGGTTGATTGGGAAAGATCTGTGGGAATTTCTAAAGGGTCAGAGGCAAGTGTAGGAATCTCTACA